CTAATATATTATTTTTAATAAATGTGAACAAACTTTAGAACATATCTGAATTTTCATTGATCAATGAATAGCAAATATTTCAGAGCAAAAGGAAATATTTTTTAAATATTATTTGTTTCTAATATTTAATTAGCATGAAATAGATAAAATAATAATAGGTTTTCTTAGTACGTAATACTTTTTGTGTCTATATATAACACCACTAACACGCAAAAAGTGAATATATTTCGTAAATATTTCGTAAATATCTGATTTAAATGTAAAATATATATTTTTAAATAATATTTCTTAAACATCTGATTTAAATGTCAAAGAAATATTGTTATAATATTCAAGAATCTGTCGCTTCAACCTATATTAAATATTGCAAAAAAATATGACTGTAATATTTGTGTGCTATCTGGGATCTTAAGGGATGAAGTCTCACCTATGTAGGGGCACTGAGTGTTGATGCTGTCGATGAAGAGCTTGATGGCGCGCACATGATTGCAAGCCACCAAAACTCTGGAAGCTTCCTCCAAGCCATCCCTAAAAATCCGAGATTGCCTTATCTTGTGCTGGTTTCACTTTGAGAAAAGCCCTACCTTATGAGCGTTAGGGGCACCAGGGGTGTTTGCGTGATGTCGCAGCCTGGCTGTTCTTTGCCATCGTTGGGGTAGAAATCCAAGTGGCCGCAGGGCTGCGACATGCCGTATCCTGCAAAAAACGGAGTATGCATACCTATTAAGGATAGGCACCGATTAATAACAGAAGTGCCAAGTGAACATTTCAAAAAAAGTTTTCCAAATTTGCCAAAAAGTGCAACGGGTAACGAAAGCAGGTACCTAGGAAGATAATTCCTTTTCCATCAGTGTGGATGACATCGACCAGATCGGCATCCGATGGGTCCAAACGGACATGGGCTGGCATTCCCTGGAAAATTCGCAAAAAGTTTAACGGCTTTTTCTGACTTGCACTTTTGATGATCTCTTTTGCAACCGAAACCGGCGTTTTTTGAGTGAAATTAATTAAGTGCCCCACTTAAAAAGAGCAGTTTTATTACCTGAAAGTACGGCTCAGCTGGATCTAGTCCAGTTATGCGGCCCAAGCCTGGAACTAACGATCCTGCATATCCAGCCGTATGCGCCCCCAACGAATGCCCAATTATGTGCACATTTCTCGTGTCCATTTCATAGTTTTTCTGGAAGAAGCAAAATGGTAAATTTCGCATTCTTTTTCCGGCTTGTCTAGTCGCCACTTATGAGCTCCTGCTAGCTTGGATTGAGATTCAGGTTTAACCTGCACGGGACAAGGTGATGGGAGGGCGATCATCAATCATCCATCAAATCAATGCGAATCCCCCCAAAATGTATGTAAGAAAATTAAAATTTCCTCTGTTGTTTATTTACTCAACCCCCAAAAGAARACTGAAMRTCTGCAAATTTGCTCACACACTCCGAGAAATTGTTCAGTATTTATATGTCTACGATCCTGCKCTCCTGCTAAACAACGGTTTAAATCAGCGTTTAACTGAACTTGGAGTTGGTTAAACGCCGGTTGATCGGGGCTCWMAATAAGCAGTTAGTTTATCGAGGTCTCCCCATCCTCCTGGCCTCCTGGTAGAAAATGGACTTGACTCCTATTGCTTGGAAAACGAAACCTTGCCTGCTGCTGCCTTGAGAGAGATTGAAAAATAAGAAAGGACAAAGAAAAAACAAACTGGGTTTATTTAATCATTAAATGCAACATAATGAAAGTAGGAGGGAGGCGCAAGCAACAACACAGAAAAGACTGCGGACGATTTCTTCCGTTATTAAACAAAATAGCAAACAAGCAGGAGGATGAATTTGAAAAAGTAATTAATGTGTATGCGATTCGCAGAGCGTCAGAGCAAGTGGTTTAATTAAATTTGTTGCCTCCTTTAAAACAAACAATTCTCATATCTTCAAAATTCGAACCAGGAGGGCAGAAACGGGCGGAATTAAGCGCACAGTTTAAATTTTAAAGTCTACCTTGTTCCTGCACTGGCTACTGCAATGTCCGCAGATGTGCGCTGTTTTAAGCGTTTCTGCATTCCTGCTTCCAATGGTGGAATTAGCTCCCTTTTGCAATTTAGCCGAGAAGCGGCGGCGAATGTTGTTTTGCTCACAAATAACGTTCAAACACCGCCATTTGGTGTAAAAGAGCGAATTTATTTTCGAGTTCTCCTCCTCCAAATGTGGGGAGATTCACTCATTTACGCGATGTCGGAGAAAAAGGGACGAAAGAGACTACTACTTTCTTTCCATCCCATGTGTGTTAAAAGGCCAAAAGTGTTTTGATCCGCTCACTCACTCAAAAGCGTTCAGAAGAAAAGTGACGCAAAGCCAAATGGTGTAGCAGGATTGCAGAAAGAACAAGTCAAATCGATCTGAACTGGCTTGTTTGCAGTGGAACCTCACATAAACCGGTTTAAAATGAGGATTAAATACAGCTCGAATAGCCGAAAATGATGGCAAAGTTTTCGCTTCCTTCCGTTTTCGATCCCTCTTGGATTAAAAATTCTTCTAAATGAGGATTTGGGTTCAATTTTTGGGCAAAAGCACAGCTTTTGCATAACGCCTTTGGACGAGATCCAGCGCAAAAACGTTTCAGGCAGCAGTTAATTCGGCGTTTTTTGGCTTCAAATCGTGCGGGTGTGCGAAAGGTTCACCACAACTTCTACATCAAACTGAAAAGAAAGCGTTTGTTGTGCCGAACCCTGTGGGCGCGACACTGAAATAAGTGCAAAAAACTCCCTTTTTGGTCAATTTGCAATAGAAAAAAAGTTTTGAAATTTGCTGATAATGAATAAGAAGCGAAATCACCTTCTTTTATGGCAAGTTTCCTGTGCTATTCAGTGCACTGGACGCCAATCTCCTGGTTTCTTTCGTTTGAGAGAAATTGTTTTTTTAAGCAAGTAAGGCACGACTTTTTTATAGCGACTGAAGGCAAAATTTTCGAAGCTAAAAAATTCATAGCAAATTTGTTGATAATGAATAAGAAGCGAAATCACCTTTTATGGCAAATTTCCTGTGCTATTCAGTGCACTGGACGCCAATCTCCTGGTTTCTTTCGTTTTAGAGAAATTATTTTTTTAAGCAAGTAAGACACGACTTTTTGATAGCGACTGAAGTCAAAATTTTCGAAACTAAAAAATTCATAGCAAATTTGCTGATAATGAATAAGAAGCGAAATCTCCTTCTTTTATGGCAAGTTTGCTGTGCTATTCAGTGCACTGGACCCCAATCTCCTGGTTTCTTTCGTTTTAGAGAAATTATTTTTTTAAGCAAGTAAGACACGACTTTTTGATAGCGACTGAAGGCAAAATTTTCGAAGCTAAAAAATTCATAGCAAATTTGCTGATAATGAATAAGAAGCGAAATCACCTTCTTTTATGGCAAATTTCCTGTGCTATTCAGTGCACTGGACCCCAATCTCCTGGTTTCTTTCGTTTGAGAGAAATTAATTTTTTAAGCAAGTAAGGCACGACTTTTTGATAGCGACCGAAGGCAAAATTTTCGAAACTGAAAAATTCATGGAAAATTTTCAGTTGCTGATCAAGATACCAGGCCCAATCCTTATATGGCACATTTCTTTACCTATCCAGTGCCCTGCGCCCCAAGTTCCTGTTTCTTTCAGTTTTAGAGAAACTGTCTTATTAAGCAAGTGATGCACGCCTTTTTGATAGCGACTCAGGAAAAATCGTAAAAACTAAAAATGTTGCAAAAAATTTACTGACCATGGACAAGATACCAGGAGCACTCGTTAAATATCATATTTCCTTGGCTATCCAGTGCACTAAACGCCTATTGCCTGGTTCTTGTAGTTTCAGAGAAATTAATTTTATAAGCAAGGGATGCCCGACTTTTTGATAGCGCGGGAATGCAAGATTTTCAAGACTGAAAAAATCGTGCAAAATTATGCGACCGTGATGAAAATACCAGGAGCACTAGTTAGATATAATGTTTCCTTAGCTATCCAGTGCACTAAACCCCTAATTCCTAGTTCTTGTAGTTTCTGAGAAATTAATTTTATAAGCTAGGGCTACCCGACTTTTTGATATCGCGTGAATGCAAGATTTTCAAAACTGAAAAAATCGTGGAAGATTATGCGACGGTGAGGAAGATACCAGGAGCACTAGTTATAAATAATATTTCCTTAGCTATCCAGTGCACTAAACCCCTATTGCCTGGTTCTTCTAGTTCCAGAGAAATTAATTTTATAAGCAAGGGATGCCCGACTTTTTGATAGCGCGTGAATGCAAGAGTTTCAAAACTGAAAAAATCCTGAAAAATTATGCGACCGTGATGAAGATACCAGGAGCACTAGTGATATATAATATTTCCTTAGCTATCCAGTGCACTAAACCCCTAATTCCTGGTTCTTGTAGTTTCTGAGAAATTAATTTTATAAGCTAGGGCTACCCGACTTTTTGATAGCGCGGGAATGCAAGATTTTCAAGACTGAAAAAATCGTGCAAAATTATGCGACCGTGATGAAGATACCAGGAGCACTAGTTATATCTAGAATTTCCTTAGCCATCCAGTGCACTAAACCCCTAATTCGTGGTTCTTGTAGTTCCAGAGAAATTAATTTTATAAGCAAGGGATGCCCGACTTTTTGATAGCGCGTGAATGCAAGATTTTCAAAACTGAAAAAATCGTGGAAGATTATACGACCGTGAAGAAGATACCAGATGCACTAGTTATATACAATATTTCCTTAGCCATCCAGTGCACTAAACCCCTAATTCGTGGTTCTTGTAGTTCCAGAGAAATTAATTTTATAAGCAAGGGATGCCCGACTTTTCGATAGCGCGTGAATGCAAGATTTTCAAAACTGAAAAAATCGTGGAAAATTATGCGACCGTGATTAAGATACCAGGAGCACTAGTTATAAATAATATTTCCTTAGCTATCCAGTGCACTAAACCCCTATTGCCTGGTCCTTGTAGTTCCAGAGAAATTAATTTTATAAGCAAGGGATGCCCGACTTTTTGATAGCGCGTGAATGCAAGATTTTCAAAACTGAAAAAATCGTGGAAAATTATGCGACCGTGAAGAAGATACCAGGAGCACTAGTTATATATAGAATTTTCTTAGCTATCCAGTGCACTAAACCCCTAATTCCTGGTTCTGGTAGTTTCACAGAAATTAATTTTATAAGCAAAGGATGCCCGACTTTTTGATAGCGCGTGAATGCAAGATTTTCAAAACTGAAAAAATCGTGGAAAATTATGCGACCGTGATGAAGATACCAGGAGCACTAGTTATATCTAGAATTTCCTTAGCCATCCAGTGCACTAAACCCCTAATTCGTGGTTCTTGTAGTTCCAGAGAAATTAATTTTATAAGCAAGGGATGCCCGACTTTTTGATAGCGCGTGMATGCAAGATTTTCAAAACTGAAAAAATCSTGGAARATTATRCGACCGTGAWGAAGATACCAGRWGCACTAGTTATATAYARWATTTCCTTAGCYATCCAGTGCACTAAACCYCTAWTKCSTGGTTYTTGTAGTTCCAGAGAAATTAATTTTATARGCAAGGGMTGCCCGACTTTTYGAYAGCGCGTGAATGCAAGATTTYCAAAACKGAAAAAATCGTGGAAAATTATGCGACCGTGATGAAGACACCAGGACCACTCGTCATATAGCACATCTCCCTAGCTATCGAATGCAAGGAACCCCAATTTCCCGGCTCTTTCAGTTGAAGAGCATTAATTTTTTTAAGCAAGTGATGCAAGAATTTTTGGCCGTCATAAGCTCAGAAATTTCCGGGAAACTTGCCGATGAACAAGCGAAACCTTTCATCTACTTATATGGAAGAATGTTTCTTTTTTAATGGAACCTTCCGTCTTTTCAGCATTTTCGGCTTTAGTAGATACCAAATAAGTCAAATTTTAATGGAAGTTTACCTGAAATGTTTTATCTGAAAAAGATGATTTTTGGCCGAGAAATGTTTCCAGAAAGCTCAAATGCCTCAGCCCAAACACGATTTTCATGGCAAAGAAGTGCCGAATCCAACAATTTATAGCAAAAATGATCTGCTGAAATGTAGACTCAAACTTATTAGGAAACTCACGTACGTACCAGTAAGTAATTAATGAGATGAGCGATCTCCAAACCGACCAGTCGAGTGTTGGCTGTGGCTTGAGTGTAAAGCGGAAGACTTCCTCCGGCCCAATCGACCACAATCACATTGAGGTCCTCCGCCTTGAGCAGCTCATCCCGCATGTCTTTTACCTGAAAGAAATGGAATTCCCATCATTTTCGCTTTTTTATTGAAAGTGTAACGGACAAGAGTTGCAACATGTAACGGACTTAACTGCTAAAAATACCCTGTAAATAATTTGTGAACTATATGAACAAAGCGCATTCAGAGTCAAGGCTTTCCGCATCAGAGTCGGTGTCAATCAGGGCGTCAAAGGCGATCAACCCCCGGATATCGTGGGGCTCGTAGAGTTGAAAATCGAAGAACTCGTCGCTTTCGTCGTTCAACCAGTGAATAATCTCCTGGACCACATCAAAGTCCACGTAGCTGGCCGTTCTTCGTCGGCGCTGCTTCGGTGGGCCCACGTCCAGTTTCTTCCCATTGGGGAGGGCGTGAAGATAGAGGCAGGTGTTTCCAAACGGACACTTGCCGCGGCCTTTGCGGAAGAATTGGCAGTCGATGGTTTGCCTGCGGTTTTTCTCCCTCAAAATGAACTTCTCCTTATCGGCCTTGTGCTCGAACCACACGCGACTCGGGTAGACAAAGTTGGACACCGTCCGGCATTCGGGACACGCTCTGGACACGCTCACGTCAAAGTCTTTGCTCTGTCTCCATCTTTGGATGCACGTGAAGCAGAAGCAGTGGCTGCAATTGGGCAGAACCCCAAAGAGGGTCGAATTCTGCGAAATCGCTTCAAAGCAAATTCCGCAGGTTTTTGCCTGTTTTTTTTGATATTCCATCGGTTGGTGGCTGTTTCGGCAGCGATTTCCGAATTTGCACAATCCACGTTGGAAGAACTTGCAAATTCGTCGTGGCGAAACGGTTTCCTTGCAATCCATTAGTGAATTGAGGAAGTCTGGAACTTGTCAATGTGAATCTTCAAATGACTTTGGCACTTTACTCCCAACACCTGAGTTTCACCTGAGTAGAAACTTG